ATATATTTATTATTATATTTGACTTAGACCTTTGACTGTACTTTATTTACATATTTTTGGATTTAAGAAAATGTTTTCTTTAAAAAAATGATATGGAACAATCAAGGAGTTTACTTTTCTGGCAGATGTATGCAGTTAAACATTGCAATTTCTAAAATGGAAACTACTTTAGAAAACATTTAACCCAACAAAGTTTAACCCAACCAGGAAAGTTCACTTTGAAAGACTTTTGAATATTTATTGTTGCTATTTCGATTACTACAATCAAAAGTTGCAATCCTAGTATCAAGAATGTCATGTGGTAATGGTTCATCCCTACAATTGGTTTTCATTGGGAGCTATTCCTTTTTGCACATGCTGAGCTCAGAAGAATCACATTCAGTTGAATAATAACCGTATACCCTTCAGTGCAATTAACAGACAACTCACTGTACCTGCTCAATGACGTAGAAGCCAAAATGCAGTCGCTGTCTCTGAAGCATGGGGATAAGGTGTTGGAAAAGGATGGGAAGATGTTCATGGCGATTTCTAAATGGAATAAGGATGGCCACCTATAGGTGTCAGGGTAAGAATCAGCACAACAATGTGCAGTTATTAACTGAAGTTAGTAGCCCAACAAATATTCTCAGTAATAGTTTCTCACTACTCGTTTCCTCTTTCACCCCACCAAGTTTGTGGCAGATGCCTGTCCACCTTGAGTTTGGATCTTTCAAAGTTTTCCTTCAGTTAAAAGGGAGTTTTTATTGCCTGTTATCAACAAATGCTTTCTTGTAGGAAAATCATTAGGATTATATCTATAGTAGAATAAGGTATTAGCATGCATAACATGGATCTTGATACCATCTTTACTTTTATTCTCTGTGAGAGTAAAATATTTCTTTGGTTATGTGACATGAACAACCACAAGAGTATTTACTAATAGTAACATACAAAGCAGGAATAACAATCTCTCGTACCATGTAAAGAACATGCAGGATTTTGCACAGTTTGAACAAAAATTTATTTTACTGTCACTGATTTGCTGTTCATCGACTGTTTGAATGTTTTATTCCTTAATCTAATTCAATTTAATTTAATTTAATTTAATAGGAAAACACTTTCAATAGAGTCAAATAAGGCATCATAGACACTTCACATGCTTACTGTTGCATATAGCCCACTTTAAGCCAAGAAAACTATCTGGACAAATTTGGAAATGGAAGAATTGGTGATCATTTTGGCTAAATATACCACCACAACTGAGGCGAATCAAAAAATTCTCCAAAGCCAAAAGAAAAGCAGACTTCCGGCTTCCAACTTCCAGTCAAGATACTAAATTTATTTTTGAAAATTACATTTTAATATGCCACATAAGCACAATCAAAAGGTTTGTTTTTTGTGACACATGCTGGATTCACTTATTTGTCATTAATGCCTTTCTTCCCGAATTACTCGATTAATCAATGAAATAGTTGATAGATTTTTTGATTACTACAATCATCTATAGCTGCAGTTCCGCCAGAAGCCATACCAGCCAATACAAATGTTTTAGTATGTTTCATCATTAGTCTTTACAATATACAATTACGAGACTTGTAAAACCCACCTTCCAGCGAGGTCTACAGTCCTTTGGTTTCCACTGGCCTCCAAACTCGACGCCAAAAAACTTGGAGAACTTCATTTCTATCACCTCCATAGGGACCTCTGTCATATTTACTTCCATAAGGCCCTCTGAGGAGATTATTTTTAAGCGGGAGGTTATTCCACAAATATACTTGGAATGAAAAAATAAAAAAATAAAAAATAAAAAAAATAAAAAATAAAAAACTACAACAAAATATTTTTCCCCCTTTCCCCCCCAAAATCTTACTGAGCCACTTTAACACTTATCTTCTGATATCAATGTACTCACTCATAGAAGGTAATCGTTCTGGGCAAGGGAGGTTCTGAGCGTAGGTAAAGTTCTCAGGGAGGTAAGTAGTTGGTTGGGCCAGGTATTCACTGGAGTTAGTGCCATCAGGATAATCTGTAGTATAAACAACCAAAATAAGGTACAAC